CATTAAATGCATGTATTAGAATAGAAAAACAAGCTAAAATCAATAATCTAAGTTTTCACCTTAGGAAACTAGAAAAAAGGGAGAGCAAATTAATCCACAATAAGCAGAAGAAAAAAACTAAGAATTTGAGTAGAAATAAAAGAAACCAAAATCAGGATATCAATAGAGAAAATCAGCAAAGCCAAATGATTTTTCTTTGAAAATGTCAGTGAAATTGATAAACTTCTAACCAGACTACAAAGAAAAAAAAAGGTAGGACACAAATACTAATATAAGAAATGAAAGAGGGCACATCACTAGGGAGCCTATGGACATTACAATAATAATAAAATACTATGAACAATTCTACACCCACAATTTGACCAACTAGATAAAATGGACCAATTTCTCGAAAGACGATTTGTCAAAACTGACGCAAGAAACGGACAATCTGAATAGGTATATATCTAGCGAAGAAAGAATAGGTATAGATCTAGGTATATATCTGACAACCTTCTGAAACAGAAAACACTGGTGAACTCTACCAACCATATAGGAAAGAAATTATAGTAATTTTCTACAATCTCCTTCAGAGAATATAAGCACCAAGACTACTTTCTAACTCATTTTATGAGGCCAGTATTACCCTAATACTGAAAGTAGCTAAAGACATTACAAGAACAAAAACTATGGACCCATATCTTTCATGACCATAGATGCAAATGTTTTCAACAAAATATTATTTCATGTATCCCAGCAATGAACAACTGGAATTTGAGATTAAAAACACAATACCATTTTCACTGTGCCCCAACAAATGAAATATGCAGGTATAAATTAACAGAATATATACATGATCTATACGAGCAAAACCAGAAAGTCTAATGAAAAATATCAAAGAAGAACTAAAGAAATGGAGAGAAATGGAGAGATCTTCCATATTCATGGATAGGAAGATTCAATATTGTTAAGATGTTACTTCTTCCCAACTTGATCTGTAGGTTCCATGCAATCCCATTTGAAATCCCAGCAATTATTTTGTGAATACTGAAAAATTGATTCTTAAATTATGTATAGAGAAAAAAGACCCAAAAGAGCCAACACAATATTGAAGGACAAGAACAGAGTTGAAGAACTGATACTTCTCATCTTTAATACTAACAAAAATATAAATCTACAGTAATCAAGGCAGTGTGGTATGGATCAATGGAACAGACTAGAGAGCCCAGAAATAGATCCCTATAAGTATAGTTAACTGATCTTTGACAAAGGAGGAAAAGTGGAGCAATGTGGGGCAAAGACAGTTTTTTAATAAATGTTGCTGGACATCCACATACAAAAAATAAATGTAGACACATACTTTACACCTTCACAAAAATGAACTCAAATTGGATGATAGGAATAAATGTAAAATGCAAAACTGTAGAACTTTTAGAAGATAACATAGGAGGAAATTTAGATGACCTTGGATGTAGCAATAACTTTATTTTCTTTATAGAGAATAGGGTATTATGCTAAATGAAATAAGTCAGACAGAGAAAGGCAAATACCGTATGATTTCACTTACATGTGAAACGTATCAAATAAAATAAATGAATAAAGAAAACAGAAACAAATTCATAAATACAGAGAACATTTTGATGGTTGTCAGATGGGCAGGGGATTTGGGGGTGGATGAAAAAGACAAAGGATTAACAAGCACAAATTGGTAGTTACAAAATTGTCATGAAGATGTAAAATAGGCTTAGGGAATATAGTCAACAATATTGTAATAACTAAGTATGGTATCAGAAGTGCACTAGACTTTAGTGATCACTTTGTAAATTATATAAATGTCTATTCACTATTTTGTATACCTGAAATTAATATAATATTGCATGTCAATGGTAATTGACAAATACAAAATTATTTTAAAAAAATGAAAGAGCATGAATCCAAATAAGAGTGCAGTGCAGGCTGGAATATAATAAAAGTAACATGGGTTTTAGAACAAGATCAATGTCCTCTAAATCCCAGTTCTGACCTATACTGGCTTCTGACCATGGTCAAACTGTAGAAACTCTTGGAGCTTCTGTGGTCTTCCAAGCTGGTTGTAAAATGCCTCACGCTTAAGGTAGGTCTTTAGTTAATATTAGGCCTCCATTTGTTCTCCCACTTGACACAGTACAAAAATATTGATAACTAACATTTTTATGCCCTTATGTACCTAGACTACACATGAAAAGATTATGCATATTAATAGCAAAAGAGTCATGTGACTGACTGGCAAAGAGTAAGGACTCTAGAACCAGGGTTATTTAGTTGAGTTCCTGACTTCATCAGTAACTAGCTTCATGACTCAGGACAAGTTACTTCACTACTCTATGCCTCAGTTCTCTTAAGAGTGGAGAGAGAACAATATTTTCCACACAGGGGATCTATCAGGGTTAAGTGAGATAATATTTGTTAAACACTTAGACAGTGTCTGACAGATACTAATATGTAATTCGGTTTAATTATAACAGTACTATTATTTTTTCCACACCTCACAGTAGCTTGATGAGTTAGATAAAATCACTTTGCCTTCATTATTTGTGGGAAAATAATGATAAGCAAGGTGAAATAATTTGCCCAAGGATGCACAGTAAAAAAAACATAATTAGGATTTATTAACTACTCACATTTCTCCTTATTTCTTTCCAAGCCAATTTCTTATGGGAATTGTTTGGTCTGATGTAAGAACTTGTCAAAAAGCTTTTTGAAAGTTTAAATATAAATTCTTTCCAAATCTCCTTAGTCATGCTTATTTATCCCCTCAAACAAGTCTAGTCGAACTGAAACACATTTCTTGTATAGAAATCATGTTGATTCCATTATGCTAAATTATTCTCTTTTGGCTATTCAACCATCCTCCATTTTCACCAATAACCTCAGAAAGATTGCAAGGCTGATTGAAATTTTAAAAGAGGGCTGGAATTTGGACAAATCATTTTACCTCTGTGAAAGGGGATTTGGACTAGATGATCTCTGGGGCCTTCCCAGCTCTTCATAATTACAGATGTATTGATTTCCATTTGCTATAGGGGCCCTGCTGATGCACCATTCCATTTATTTGATCTCCTATTTACATATATGTTTGTTTTCCTTCTGATTCTTCAGAGTATTAGATATAAGACAAGTAAGAAAAATGTACAAAAAAAAGAGGAGGTTAAAGTTAAGTGGCAAAGGTGGGGGAAGCAGATTTGATGTCATTCACTTTAGGTTAGGCTTCTTTTTTTGTCATTATTTTGGTAGTCTATGACCTTCTTTAAGTGGCCATGGCATCCCTTCATTTTATATTCAAATAATACTATAATGAAGCCTCTGAAAAGCCAGAGCTGATATCCAAATGTTGCATGATTATTCTGGTGTTTCTATAAATACAACATATACTTCATTTCCTTCCTTTCAATAAGATAACTATCAGTGGTTCCCCATGCCTCAGCTAGTTTTATGAAATTATGGCACACTAGAGTCATTGATAGGAACCATGCTAATACAACTCCAGAAATGGCCACAGTTTCTTTATCTAATAAACATATTCCAAGAAAAAACTGAACTTATTAAGTGCCTGTAGTATACTCTGATTCGTTGTACATACCAGGAATACAGAAATCTAAAATGGAGAGACTGTCCTAAAGAAAAAAAAATAGTGAATCAGAATGATATCAAACTATAACATACCTGAAAGCTGTGCTACAGTTGAGACATATGAAAGAAGTTCTGGGAACAAAGAGAATGAACACCTAGCTGTTTGCTGAGAGGAGAGGTATACAGGTGTCCTCAAAGTGATGGTAAGGTCATGTCTTAAAAATTGCACGAGAGTTGGTCTGATTTTGAGAATGAAGAGTCCAGAAAGAGGAATCAGGATGTACAGAAAATGAAAGAAAGGCATATTTGGATAGCTATTCCATATAGAAGGAGTTTAGAGTGATCCTGGTCCAGTGGGTAAAGTTAAGTGGGGAGATTTTGAGGGGGGCAGATTATAAGGGATCTCACATATCATACTAACGATTGTCTAGGATTTCACTAAGGATGATTGATAGAATTTAAGAAGTTAGTGATATGATCTGATTTGTAAGCAGTTTACATTTCCAAACATATGAAAACTTCTTAGAAAGGATCCCAATGACCCTGTCCTGCTAATCAATTTCTAGGGCTTAATACAGTGTCTAGAATATGGCAGGTGCTCAAAAATGTTTAATATATAAGGAAGTAAATAGATTAATCAATCGATCAATGATGAACTAAGCTAGTTAGAATTTGCTTCTGGACTACATGCCAAATTATTTACAGGGATAATGAGATTTACTTTAAAATATTTAAGCAAGCACGGGGGCAGTTGGAAGGATAGATAAAATATGATTGACCAGATACAGGTAATTATAAATGCTGTGAATCTGGTACCTGGGGAATATTTCTATTTTCTTTACTTTTTCCCTAATAAAGAGGCTTTAAAAATTGCTTCTGAGTTAAGATGACCTGATTTCTAGATTCCAAAAACTAATATGTTGAAGCATAAATATCAAGTTTAAAAAGAGTTAGACTTTTAAAGGATGATAATTTGTTTGTGACTTTTAAAAAAACTGAAGTAAAAGAAAAACCTTGGACACTGTGAGAAATTTTTGGAGTCTATGCAACCCCTGATTTCTAGATATGTAAGCCTTTGATCTAATTTTGGCTAGAGCACTTCTTGACTTAAACGTCTTCATAGTTTATATTATAGAACTAAAATTAATGTTAGAAATTAGTTGTTAAATTGTTTAAATATGGAAATCATATGCTCATTCCAAAAAGCACTTTGAAAAAAAATGTTTTCACATTAATCTATATCACACTCAATCGATTACTTCACAAAATTTTTTATTTCGTAGTTACTAAAAATAACTGTAGTTACTACAAAATTTATTCCTGCTTGTATTTGTAAAAAATATATATTTTGTACTAGGAACTCTCCTCTCCCTCTCTCTCTCTCTTAGGAATATGAACTCTTTTTTCCCCCTCAGGGGAGAGCACGAACGCAGTCCCCCACTACCATAAATTATGCAGTCCAGTTCCCCACATTTGGGGACATCAGAGGGGTCAGCACATCTGGAGGGCAATGGGTGAGCCTCGCCCTGGGCAAACCACCTTTATGGTCATGGCATCTCCTCTGCCAGGTAAGTATAAGGAAATTGAATTCTCTGTAGTTAAATTTAAAGGGTACGTATAGCCATTGATTCCTATCTCTTGCAGTCCACTCAATAGAGTTATTGTTCCTAAATAAAGTTAAGTTTTAATAATTGATAAGTTCTGGAGACTGGCCAGACAATCACTGAAACATTTGCTTTCCAGGTGTAGAGGGGATCAGCTGCTCCAGATTAGCTCTCATATCTACAATCAGACTCTGGTGAGCTGGGTATCTCCACGTGTTCGACACAATGTTGTACACATGAGAGTCAAACTAAAAGGCAGTGTTTAAATGATGGTCCTTCAGCTGATGCACAGAACGTAAGAATGCTGCAATGAGGATAAGATAGGAGAAGGAATGGCATATGGAGACAAGGAACAGATATACAGATTGACTTTAGATCCTTATGTTAACTCACATGATTCTGCCCAGGAAAAAGAAAAAGTTTCATAGAAGTAGTACAAGTCACCAGAACTTGTGACAGAACACCTTATTTATTTATTTTTAAAATTAAAAAACTAAAATTTTATTAAAACAGTATCTTACTATTAAAAAAGAAAGAGAAAACATGAGAAACTGGCTGAAAGGGGAAATGACCTTTGTAATTATTATCCTAATAGAAAAATGCTATGTTAATAGGCATTAGGAAAAAATGTTACTATTGTGTCATTGGTATTTACCATTGTGTATTCATCAAGGATTCACTTTTAAATGTTTTTTTTAGGTGTGATGGGATCTGGCTGTCAAAAATGAAGTGAGTATCCCATTCTAAACATCTCAAAGAGGATAAGGTAAGCAAAACTGTTAGCCACAAAAAGGTCTGAGTTGATGTAATTCCTCTTCAGCCAGTCTTACCTGGAAACTTCATACAGTGAGGTCTGAAAGATGCATTAATTACTCCAAAAGTCATTTTTTAAAAATCAGTAATTCCTCTACCTCAGCATACTTTAATACTTAAGGAGGTCACATTTAGCTTGACTTTGGCAAAAAGAAATAAATTTTAATAACACAAAAATGCATATATATACTTCACAAACAGAAAATTTGTGCTGTTTGACATTTCATTTCTTTCCTTATGGAAAAGTAGAAGAAGGAAAAAACTGTTTTTCCTCCTTTTCACACCAGTTGTGTAAATTCTTTCTCTAGTCTTTTGTCTAATTAGCAGGAGAGCTGAAACTAAGAGATGTTGAAGATCTTAGTGTGTGACCGTCTGAACCATAAGAAGTAAAGAATAGATTCTTTTATATTTTTAGAGTTCTTACAATTTGTTTAAATTAATTACATATCTTAATTCCCGCATTTGGTTTACCACTGCAAACTACAGTTTCAGTGATGGAAGAGAAGTTTGTAGAGATACTAAAAAAAAAACAACCCCAAAAAACAAACCCAGAAAATTTGGAAATCAGGGAAAGATGGAAACCTTATACATACATTTACTAAAAATGCATAGTATTGATTGACAAAAACAAGTATAAAGTGTAACATGTGCAAACCAGAGAGGTAGGATGTCAAGACAAAAAGGCAATATATTTCTTCCTTCTTATATAATACAGCTTACTCAATATTCCTAACAATGATGCTCTCTAATAATGTTCAGTGACATTACTTCTGGTAACTGTTGAGAAGGAATAACATATGTTCTTACCAGTAGATCCTATTTAAAGGCTATATTAGTTTTTATACAAATTATTATCGGTAAGTTCTGATGAACATGAAAAAATCCACTCTAACCATTTTATCCACACCTCTATTTTTATGCACTCAAATGTAAGCATAAAAATTATGAAAGTAATAAGATTTGCAGGTGTAACCTCAAAACTAAATTATAAGCTTCTTACGTTTTGAACATACACATCTCAGTTAAAAGAGCTACTTGCTATCAACATTATTTTAAATTTTGAAACTATATAATAGAACTCATTCTTTGTTTGGACTAGTTAGCTCACCACTATTTCAACAAATACACATAACTATATTCATCAAAGGGAATAAAGTAACAGAGGTGTAAATAAAGATGATTTTTGCCAAGTATGTAAATAAAGGAAGAAATATATAAGCAATTTATAAAATAAGGTAGTAAATTATACAGAACTTCCTATAGGAAGTCAGAACACGGTAAAGACCATTTTTTATTACAAAGCCAGTTTAGACCTAAATTGGCTTTATTCTCAAATTAGAGTTAGATCTTAGTTTCATATACATATTATCTTCATATTTGATTCTCAAGTCAGACTTGTAGGCACTCTGGTGGTCAGATCTTACTCTTTTAAACAACCATTCTCTTCCCCCACCACCAAGTGTCTACTTTGATGTCCTTGATTCTGAGTGTTTTTATTGTGTAGAGATTCCTCACTAACTTGTCAGGCAAAACCCCCACCGCCTCTTTCCTTTCCATGAATAAAATAATTTTTCTTCTTTGGGGTTCTTCAAGTTTATGAATTTGGGTACATGTAAAGGCAAGTGACTACCTAACTCCTGTCATCAAATTCCATCTTAAAATCACATTGATAATAGCATGCTTTATTTAATACACCACTACTAGCAACTTTGAAAGACTGCAGAGTCCCTTCCCCCTGGAATCTATCTTCTCTTCTCCACTGTTCTCTGTTCAGTCCAGCTCACTCTTGATCCATCATATATCTTCATATGATAGAACATGCCTACAGACTGTGGAAAGTTTTTTCTACTTGCTAGTCTACTGTGTTGCTCCAAATCTTGAGGGGATATGTTCTAAAATTGTTTTTTTTCCATTAATCTTTGCAATTGCACTGTTAGACCATGAAGTAGTGTAAAAAATAAAACATAAATAAGTCCATGAAGATGTCTTTCTTGTGCAAACTAAAATTTGTATTAAAAAAATTTAAGCTACAAGAAATATTAAATTTGGATTAAAAAAAAGTTTATTGGTGAATTACAAATGACATTTAAATATTGGGGTAACCAAAAAGTTTGTTTTGTTTTTCAGTAAAATGGCTCTCAGAGCACTTACTTGATTTTAACTCCCTTCGAAACAATTTTGTTAGATTGTATTGTGAAAGCTGTCATAGGAGTGTCCATTTAAAAAAAAACTTATCAAAATTGGTTAATTTTTGTGTAGCCATCTTAATAATGAAGATGGAAGAAAACACGCAAAATTTTTGGCATATCATGCTTTATTATTTCAAGAAAGATAAAAATGCAACTGAAATGCAAAAAAGATTTGTGAAGTGTATGGAGGTGCTGTGACTGATCCAATGTGTCAAAGGTGGTTTGCGAAGTTTCATACTGGAGATTTCTCACTGGACGATGCACCATGATTGGGTGGACCAGCTGAAGTTGACAGCAAGGAATCAAATCGAGACATTAAATAACAATCAATATTATACCAGTGGGGAGATGGCCAACATACTCAAAATATCCAAATCAATAAACTTATTAGTGAAAATGAAAAATGTGTCTTTTATTTTATGGAAAAAACTAAACAGACTTTTTGGCCAACTGAACAAGTAAGGGATTATTTGATTGTTGGTTATCACCTAATTTTTGTTAGATTAAAAGGAATTGTGCACTAATATAAGTGAAAAACTTTCTCAGTGAGATATAAGGGAGACAATAAAAATTGTTAAATAATGACTTGGCTTACTAAAGTTAGTTATCTCTATTTTTTTTGTAGCAGCTAAATATACAAATTTGATATATATTCAAGTTTTGTGAAGGGAGAAGAATGTGTATGTTGAGAGAAAGTCAGACTGTCAGGGACAGAGACATATATGTTGGGGGCAATCCAGAAGGGGGAGTGTGGTATATTACACAAGATTATTTTGACAGTTGTATTTTGTGGCCAGGACAAGTAAGTATTAAAAAAGAGGTATTTTTTGAAGAAGAGTGTTTTTTGCTTTTTTATTTCTATACTTTATACCTATAAAAATATAATATCAAAATAAAAACAAGACAATATATAATTAAAAAAATTTTCACAGTTTTTTTGAGCTAAGTATTATTTCATACTAGTGGAAACAAACCAAATTTCATAAATGTGACAGAATCCCTTTATTTATAAATACTATCCCATCTTGTTCCAGAAAGAACTCAAATGGCAGCATTTGATTATTTCATTAGAATAATAGCTTATCACAATCAAGACAAACTTTTTGTTAAAAGTTTATTTTGTTTCATTGGATGCAGAGTGAAAACAAGTGATGAATTTCAGATAACTTTTTCTTGAAATTTCACATTTCAAAAAACATTTGTAATTCTCCTAAAGAAACTATTATATTAAAAACATTAATCATTTGCTTCGAAATTTTTAGTGTTTTTGTTAGTCCTCTTATACAAAAGGCATGAGAATCTTTTTAAATTGACATTTTATTTTGAAGTGCATGAGAAAATTAAAATAAACCAATAGAAAGGGATATAGATGAAATCTGAACTATCCTTATATGCAAAAGAGAAGGCTTTAGAAAAGAATTTTAAGTGCCATTACCTCAGGAACTAAAATATAGGACTTAAAGTTAAGATTTTCTTTCTATTTGATATGTACAGACTTTTTGTGTACACATGCACAGTAAATGACTTAATAAACCATATAGTTAACAGATGATGCCAGAATCCAGAAATGTGTTTTATGTTTAAAGAAATTAAAATGTTATAAGGAGTATTTATTACATTTAAAAGACCTAGTAAAATTCAATTTAACACACACTGTTAAAAACAAATACTTTATTTGGCTGAAGAGAAGTTTTACTCTTAGCAGTTAATATATATGTTCTTAAAACAGACTGATAGTTATAAATTAGTTCAAAGACAGGGTGACACCATTTTCAAATTACATCTTTGGAAAAGGAACTATAAACATTGTCAAAGTTTAGTCAAAATGACGGGAACATCATATTCAGAAAACTTAGATGGGGAATTTTCCTTAAAAAATTTGGGTGCTAAGTATAGTAGCATACTTAAGAAAAGCTTTTGTAACTCCTAAATGAAAAACATACATGAGATAATCATACTAGCTTTCCATGTTTACATAATGGTCACAAGTTACATATGGAAAATTTTATCCAGGGTAATTTTATATTCCATGTCATAATTTAGTTTATTTTTTTTCACAAGGATAAAACATCTATTAGTAAGAATCAGACTAATACAAACATTTCAAAACCGTAAGATTCTATCTACAATCCTTAGTTCTTAAAATTTGTTTATTTAAAGGACATTGTAATATAAAATATTAAATATTTGAAGAATATAATATTTTTCAAAAAGAAAAACGAGAAAGCATCAGTCACAGAAATAAATAGAATTGCATAAAGGCATATTAAATGTCTATCTTTTCAAACCTAACCATTTAGAAGCAAGCTACTTTACCTATAATAGAATGGAATTACTGTCTTTAAAAACGCAAATATTTTCAATATTTGAGGGATAGCCATTTCAATAAATAAGTTTCTCTGATAATTATGCTGCAATGGGACAAGTCATGGTAACTTCTCTTTTTTAACTGCTACAAAAGGCAATTTTTACATCGTACTATTCCAAGGAGGTTTATTCTTTTTTTCTTCTTCATCATATGTATGATGATTTCTGGATGTTTTAGTATAGGGTATCACCCCGATGCAGTCTTGCAGTGCAGCCCAAGGCAGTTGCAGCAAGATTTCCCACTAGGAATGTTTAGGAGCTAGGCGGGTACAAGGCTTGAGGAAACAATCTAGAAAACCACAAAACAGCTTGTTGGTCCTTTCCCCACCAATAACCTTTTTAGACCTTATCTATAAAATGCAGTTTATTATCTAAAATTTTTAAGAAGAATCTTTTGTTACATGTTAACAAAAGAACGATTATCCTAACTCTCTTTAAAATTCAATCCTTAAAAAAAATTCAACTCTCAAGTCTTTTTGAAAAGTGTTTAAATCATCTGGAGATAAATATCATTTAGTGTCCTTGTTTTTTAACAAACGGCTTTTTCCATTGTTTCTATTAATTTCACTCATCTTCTTCTTCTTTCTTTCTTTTTTTTTAACAAACAAGGCCCTTATCCTCATCACAAAACGGAGACGTATAATTTAGCACATAAAACCGGTAATTACATGCTAATTTACAAAAGATTAATTTTTCTCTTTTTGTCAGTTTTCAAGAAGTCTCCCCTTGATTAACTGTAAACAGGAATGGTTTACACCTCAAATTAGAAGCCATTAATTAGCATGACGAAGTCAACAAGATTCACAGATTTAAATTATTTAATCACTAATAACCCTGGCTAAAGTGTAGTATGCTGTTTCAATATCCTTCGGTAGGTTATTGATCTGTCACTAAATTACCTCCAGATCAGTTAGGATAAATATTAGTGTTCTTTCCTTTCTTTCATGTTTACATTATTCCTTCTGGTAAACACTTTAAAAAAAGGCATTAAGGTTCTTTAATCCTGAATCCCTAATTAGCCATCACTAGCCTTTTTGTAATCAGGAAAAAAAGAGTATCTGAAGTACACAGATCAAGAGTTTGCGTTGCCCAAACAACAATAAAAACATTTGTAAAATGTATGCTTAAGGCAATGGCAGTAATAAAAGATATATGCATAGGTGGCTTCAGCAAATACCGGGCCAGCAAACGCAAGTGCTTAACAAAAAGCGCCCGAGCCTCTATTGCAACGTAAAGCACTCCAATAAATTACACAACACTTTGCATAGGCTGCAGAAATAACGCAGGACAGGACTTACACAGATGCCAATCCACAGCATTTATACACATGCACATGGCAAGAGACAGAAACCAAACACTATCATTCAACTCGGGCAGGGTAGCGCGATCCCGAGTTTGCCCAGCGTGAGAGTGCGCTCTGCGTGTGTGTCTGTGTGCGCGCGTGAGAGTGAGACCCATCCTCGGGGCATTTCCCCTCTTTGGGCAGTTTTGCTTCATTTGTTTCCTATTTCTGCTACATAGAAACTAACTTCCATCTCAGACCCAGCAGCGCCACAGAATAGAGCCTGTGCTGCGGCACCGTGTGCGTCAGATCCCTCCGCGGAGCAGTGCCCGGCCCCCTCCCTCCTGCGATCGGCCTCCACAGAGAAAGCACCTCCCAGCCAGCCCGCGGCTGTAGCTCCGACATCTTCTCCATTGGAAATAAATAAATAAATCGCACCTTCAGCATTGGAGGAGGGGGCAGGGGTCTCACTGCGCCGAGTACTGGGGCGCTGGGGTCGCAGGGCTGGAGGCACTCCTTTTTTTGCTCCAGGGGGCGGGGGCACCGGCCGAGGACGGGGCCGAGCCCGGGACCGCGAAGGTGGAGGACTCTTTTCTGCAGCGGAGGGATCCACGGCGGAGGCGGCGGCTGCCGTAGCCGCTGCCTGAGAGTTGTTGTTTCCTCCTCCTCCTCCTCCGCCTCCGCCGCCGTTGCTTGAATGGTGGAGCCGAGGCTCGGCTCGTGAACACACAGTGACAGCTATAGGGCAGGCGGCGGCACCATCCCCGCTTCCCCTTGGCGGCGGGGTGTCCCGCCAGCGGCCCTTAAGTGACCCATAAACATGTCTTGTGAGAGGAAAGGCCTCTCGGAGCTGCGATCGGGTAAGTCGGGGGGCTGCTGGGGCCGCTGGCACCGGGCGATTCCGCTCGCGGTCCCCCGCCCCCCGCCGCCCGGCTGCTCAGTCTGTGTGTCTCCCCGTCCCTCTCTCCCGCGCAGAGCTCTACTTCCTCATCGCCCGGTTCCTGGAAGATGGACCCTGTCAGCAGGCGGCTCAGGTACGACGGCGCGCGGCGCGGGCAGGGCCGGCATTCGCGGCTCGCGGGCGTGGGGGAGGGCGGCGGCGGCGGCGGCGGGGCCGCGGCCCGGGGCGCGGGGCTCAGCTCTCCCCGCTTTGTTGTTGCAGGTGCTGATCCGCGAGGTGGCCGAGAAAGAGGTAAGGGCGGCGGCGGCCCGCCGCGTCCTGCTGCCGCGCGACCGCCCCTGGGCCGCGGCGCCACCGCTGCCGTCGCCGCTGGGGCGTGGGGCGCCTGGCTTGGGGTCCCCGCCGGGGCGCGGGGCGGGCGGGGGAGGGGAGCGGGCGGGCAGGGGCCGGGGGCCCGGCTAACGGGGCGTCCTCTCCCCGCAGCTGCTGCCTCGACGCACCGACTGGACCGGGAAGGAGCATCCCAGGACCTACCAGAATCTGGTGAGACAATCACGTCGCGGAGCAAAGAAACTTTTCCCCGAGTCGAATAAAAATTGAATTTCCCGCAATTTTTTACAGAGACAAAAACTTGGCCCCAGAACGTGAAACCTCCAAAGGCCAGGGGAAGGGTTGGGAGGCCGGCGCGGGGGCTGCGGGGGGCAGTGGCCGGGGGTACCTGCACTCCGGGGCCGCAGGGGCTGCAGACAATTTATTTGTGATATTTTGTTAATGTGCTAGAAATAAAGATACGTCACGAGTGTTGTGCAGTGCAAGGCCGGAGGAGGAGGGGCCGGCGCGCGCGTCCGTGCGGACGCGGGTGCGCGCGAGGCGGCGGCGGCGGCGGCGGCGGGAGCGGCGCGAGGGAAGAGGGCGCGCTCGCTCGCTCGCTTTGCGTGCGCGGTCCGCTCGGCTTTCTCCTGCCCCACACAATAGCTGGTGACTAACTGCTCCGAAGTGGCATTAGCATTTCACAAGCAGGCTATTCCGCTGCCGCGGGGCCCTGTCGAGACGTTATTATTTTTTTGCTTTCCTTTTTCTTTTGCTCACCCTGAATTCAGGGCCTGTTTTTTTGTTGGAAGGGTTCGAATGTGTGATGACATGGGCCTGCAGAGTATCTTGCGTGTACGAAACACTCAGAGAAGTGTAAAGCCTGTAATAATCCTAAAGCCAGCGGTTTAACAGGCTCTTTCTAATATTGCTAATATTCGTGTGAGCCCCTTGCTCAATTAAAAACTGTTATTGGGGGCCACTGAAGAGTTTTGATTTTTATCCGTGTGTTTACTTAGGATGGAACTTGGCTAGTAGAAGTTTTTTAGTATGTCTTGGGGTATGTTTGTTAGATAGCTTAAAATACCCGCTACTTAATATTTTGAGTTTTCAAGGTGAATATTTTAGTAATTTGTAGAAATTGACTTTTAAATGTGGACCTATCACTTTGGGAGTTGTTTTCCATGTTCTTCTAAATGATTTAGGTTGTATGAATGTGTGTGTGTGTGTGTGAGAGTCAGGGCGGTTAAAGCACTCACGCGGCAAATCGTTTTCTGAGATATCTGTAACTCATGTTGTGATATAGTTAGTAATGACTGTTACTTAATGAGGTCTTTTAAAACAAGTAGGAAGTTTAAAAGGTAGCTTAGAATTGAATGTCTTGCGTGAGGTGAAAGCATGAAATGATTTTGATGGCTTTCGTTTCATTTGGTTGTAAAACATTTAACATCTGAGTCTCTGATTTAATATAGTTTTTTGATAAGTGCTCACAACTGTGGAAATAAGCAATGGTACTTATGTTTAGTAAATTTAATGGAAACAACAGTTTTCAAGTAGTGATTTAGGCTAGTTTCATTCAATACTTGGCTGATGTGAATTTACTCAAATTCAATAACTGCAATATTTAAATTTTTAGATTGTAAAAATTTGACAAAATCTCAAGTAGATTTCTGTGTTTTCCTGGTTATTTGAAAGATATGAAGATTATAATTTTCCACTTTTAAGAATTGGGCAGATTTTACAAAACTCATCTTTGGATCTTATAAAAACCCACAAACCCAAAGTCATTGAAGATTGCTATTTTCTTGGAGACAGTTGGTAATGTTGTTTATATTTTTAAAATGAAGTGGCTAATGGTATCTGGCCAAATAATGGGAATGTCTAATCCTTGAAAGAATTTCATTTTGTTTTCCCCAGTAACAACAAGGCTACCAATTTGTTGATTTTTATTTTATTTAGTTGTTTGAGAAGGTTTCTCATCTCTCAAGTATAATAAAATGAATTTATTTTCTGGTTCTCTTTCTCAAGACTTAGGACACAATAAGCAGTGTCTTCATTGGTGTGTTATTTATAAAAATCGATCTATTTTGCATGGAAGTGTTTCTTCTTATTTGGAGAGTTTACATCTTTATATACCAAATCAGTCATGTTGGCATACTCATGAGATGGTGAAGATTCTCATTAGACTTCAGAGTTCTGTGGTTCATTTTCTCTTTTTATTCATTCAGCATATTGCTCATTCTGTATCAACTGGATACAAAGCATCGTTCAGGTGCTTCACTATCCATGAGACTGTATCTAGGTGTGTGTGGGTATCTGGTTTACCTTTGACTTTTGAGATTTAGTTAGATCTAAAAGCATTTTGAAACAACACCAAATATCAGTATGTTTTTGTTTAATAGGATCTTGAAATTTTGTGTCTAGGTTAACCACACGAAACCTTATAATTATTGTCTATTGTCTTAATTATTCTTATAATTTAGACATGTTTAAGTTTGCTTCCTATTAAATTGCTTTTACTTAACATTGGTTTGAAGACAATTTTGGTGAGTGAAATCAAACTAATAGCTGTTGTTTGCAATTTCAGTAGGGCCTACCTCTTTACCTGGAAATTTGTTGCTATGTTGTTGATAATTGAGTAATAGTTTAAATGGAAGAATTCATATGTAGATTGAAATTTCTAGAAAAATCTCAAATTACAGCTATTTGGAGTAGGATGTAATTTTGTGTTTATGAGTTTAAAACAGGTATAGATTAGCATCTGCGGTCAGCCTGCAGATAGAATCACAGTGATTGAGTTTTGACGAAAAGGAAAGTGTTTTGTGAGCAGTTTTTAAAAGTTTACAGATTTTTAAAAAAATAGATGCATTTCAAGTGTGATTGATAAAGGTGTTGTGAAACTGCATTGTGGTTATTACCATCCACTTTAAGATTTAAAACATTTTTGATATGAAGTTTAAAGGGTTTTGGTTTTTTTTTCCCCCCTTGGCTCCATGGTATATGTCTAATCTATTTTATATTTTTTAAAATAGGAGGTTGAATTTAAAGGAGAAGGGCATTTTGTAAGCTTTTATCAGAATTCTTATTTTTTTAATGGAGCCAGGTTTATGGGGCAAACTTTTTATAGAATAATAAAAGTAATTTTTGGACAATTACTTGTTTATTTCTTAGTTTGCATAAAAGTTACCACCTTAATTAGTGGTGATTGCATATTGATGAGATCTTGAGGCAAATTTTTAAGCATTTTTACCAAGTCACATTTCTTGCCCTACAAGGTATCTCTCCTGCTACCCTGAAATTGGGTTCTTATTTTGCTAATCTGTTACAATGATACAATCCTTTTTTTATTTTACGTGAAAGGATTAGGATCCAGGTGATGTAGGTTGTGATGTTAGCCCTGCCAGCAGTTAACCGGCTGGTTATCTCAGGCAAATCATGGAATTTTTGTGGGACCCTACTATCTCATTTGTGAAATAAGTGAATTAAAATTTTTCTAATCTGAAAATCTGATTTTTTAACTAGAAATAGCAATATATTCTCTAAGAGTTCAACTCTTTCTTTTTGGAGTTTGATTATTCAAAAACACAGAAAAGATGCAAGGAAACCATGCAGATTTAAAAATTTTATAAACACTTTTGATAGTGCCATTCCTAGGCTGTAGTATGATATTTCCTTGCAAGGATGGAGATTTTTGAGACACTAACCACATTGTAGACTACCTCTTTGTGCTATAATTAGTATGTTTTTCAATATGGTTTAAGTATTAGTTTTCGTAAATTAATTGGTAGCCTTAAAGTCAGAGATGATTAGGCACCATGAATAGAAGATACTTAGGTATGTATCTTAAGTATGCATTTATTTAGCGTGTGCTGATTAATGTGAAAGTTAAAGTATAAAATCTAGGAGACACATTTTAGGGAAAAATACATATATAACACTTTAAATGTTTTTGAATCAGCGATTCCTATTCTGTATTAAAGATAAATAGTACTTTTCAAAACTTAACCAGTATATTTGGGGTGTGGTGTGACATATGAAGTAAATTTGTGTTACAGAATTTCCATTTCTTTCTTTTTTTTTTTTTTTTTTTTTTTTTGGTGGATTGCCAGTGAAAGGGTACGCATAGCTTGGTAGCTTCTAAAATGGGGCTTTAATATAATGTGGACTGAAGTGGGAAAAATTTCATGTTTTCTTACACGTGCAATTATTCTATTGGTACTTACATCATTATTTTTAAAAGTGTGACATTCACATATATTTTAAAATGAAATATGAACCTTAAGTCTTAAAATCCTTGAATTGGCATTATGTAAAGAGTTGGATTATCTACCTAACTATACAGTGGTATTTTAGATGATTGTTATGGGGCAGAATAGTAAGTTCTGTAGGAGTCTGTTTTCCAGTCTGAAATGGGCTAATAATATAGCATCTACTTTGTAAGATTATGTGAGTGATAAAGACAGGCACAAGTCAAATACTAAGTAAAGGTTTGTGTTTGCTCCTACTAGAACATTAGTAGTTGTAGTAAAGATTGTTCCAATGATAACTTTATAATGTATTAAAGTTTAAGAAAACCATTTTTATTTCAGAAACAAGTGTGCATAACTTCCTG